TACAGGACCAACTCTTGGTAACCTTCGACCTCAACCTTAATATTATGACAATGATAATTATGATTCATACTTGACCAATCAAACGCTGATTAAAAAAGATTGAAAGTTGGCTGCAGTCCTTCTATTCAGCTGGTTAAGTGGGCTCTCCCTTACGGCGTCTCTTGGCAAGGTGTTTGCAGCATGCACGCCGAGGAGAGCAGAAGCACCGATATACCGTGCAGCAAGAGCACGGAAAGGACAATAAGGCTTTGGATCGAATAGAATTAGTTATCCCGGGGACGCGAAGATCATAGCAAATGAACAACTTTGTTTTCTTGATTTGGATTTTCTGTTTGATTTGCTGTCTCATGTCTTGGAGACTATTTCTCTTTAAGGGTAACGAATTCTGTAGTGTCAGTTCCAATGTTTTGCAGAGCGATGCTGTATTTCACCCGCTTTGGTTCTTTCACATCTTACCCTTGGCACTTTCCGGTACGTAATAGGCAAAAGTCCCTAGAAAATCCCATGTAAATAGTAATATCGGTTGAGGTGATTCGGCGGAGACACGGCCACTCCGTGCGCAAATCGCACGACAATCTAGGATGTATGTATGTAAAGCCACAAGAAAGGGTATCTGAGAAAGTTTGGACGGCGTAGAACCCGTAAGAATAGATGTAATAGAAGACAACGGAAGGTGGTGAAAGGTAATGTATTGGCAGGCATTTCAAAGAGCAACTGATCTGATTCCAGAACCCCGAGAAACGAAATCGTGATCAAAAGTAAAGGACCAGGAGGGGAAATAGAAAGAAGCCAAAATACCACAATACTTTCCTGTATGCGTGCTATAATAGGCCTTTACGACTCCTCCAAATACCTTGATACCAACAACGACCAAAAGCAATATTGCATAATCCGAGAAGAACAAGAAGGGAAAAGAATAAATACACACCAAATATGTAAAACAAAATAAAAAACCCAAGTTCAAAAAGAATCTCAAACCGTCCCCGCAATGCTCAAATCCCTAATCTCCTGCAACACCTGCTCGACCCGATCATCCAACCGGCCCTGTGCATACTGCTCTCTCGTATCCGAATCCAAATACTGCTGCACCTGCGCCATACGCGAGTACGCCTCCGCGCAGAACCGTAACTGGATCTTGACAAGGGCCTCAAACGACGGATCCAGGTATGGAACACGGAGGTCAATGAGCTGCGGCAACTCGTTGAAGAGCTGGTCATTCAGCTGCTCGTAGGCCTGCTTCGCCATTTCGGCCTCCTTCTCGGCGCGGGGCAGCTTGGTCGGGTCCTTGTCGGGCTTCTCGACGAGCTTCTTGACTTTAGCGCGCATGGCGTCGTAGTCGAGGAGTTTGTGGTTGCGCTTCTTGATACATTCGTTTATGTCGGGGAAGTAGGCGCAGAACCGGGATATGGGTTCCAGAACGGTGGTTCTGCGGTTGTGAAGAGGTTAGGTCTTGTGGCTGATGTGGATTAAAAAAACATTCCGTACCTGTATGGCCCATCAAGCGCCTTAATTGTTTCTGCGTCAAGGTCTTCGACAGCCTGCTTGTAGCTCCGACTGACCCCATCTTTGGCGCCCGCATCGCCGTAAAATGCATCTATTGTCTCAGCAATGCGCATTTGAGATGCCATCATCGCTATTCTCCTCTATTAGCATACGACTAATAATCCAACTCATTAGGTGTGAAGTGGGGAAAGGCATTGAATACAAACCTCGCAACGAATCCAAATAACCCTTCGCCTCCTTTTGTAGCCTATTCGCCGCTGCTTCCATAGTTCGATAGCGTCTATACCAAAGGCAATGCGCATATCAGCCAAACAAATACTTTAAGCACATTCGTAGCATGTTCGTATCTAATTCCACTTGCAAGAAATCGTCCATACCTCTCTTCAACCTCGTAGTCTCGATCACTCGTCCTCTCCACATGCCCTGCACGCATCACAAACTGTAAGTATACAAAAACAATAACTTCAAATTGAAAGGGACAAAAAAACCAGCTTAATTGAAATCCTAAGCAGAAGGGGGAAAAGAGGAGAAAACTCACCCGTCTTCATCATAACCTGCGTCGTCGCCCGATTGACATTTTTTTTAAATCCTATTAAATGCATAATTCCCAATTCAATTAGCAATTACCTCAATCAGACCTCTCATATCATGTTCAATGACTATCCTCAAATGTCATGCTCATGATATATGCTATATCTTACGCCTCACCTCCCACTTCACAATCACACATAACTGTAACTCCAGCAACAGAAACAAAGAATGTCAAAAAGCACATACCAGCCCAAGACATGGTGATAACAGCGTCACAACCAATTCAATTTGCTTGTTTCTAATAAAACCCCCAAAAATTTAAACGAAATATCAGGCGCAGGGGAACCGGAGACTTTGATACCGCGCTAGAAGAAAGGATATACGGATATACGGATATAATGTTTAAATTAGGCCTCAGACTGGGATTTTCTGTTTTGATCGCGCTCTACACAGACTGAGTCGTCGGCAGACAAGAAGGGAGATATCAAGGAAGTCGGTGGGAATTGACAGCGTATTGTCGCGGGGATTCCGTCAATGGCGAAGTGGATAACGGTGAATGGTTAGGCTCTGATAGACGCCTGAACGTTACGACGGCCGATGGTTTGTGCGGGATTTTACTTGCGCCCTAGATGACGAAGGAAGCAGAGATAGAGAAAAGAGGTCTATTCCTAGATGGTTGGAGAGAGATTGGGGGGATTTCAAAAACGTAATTTTCGAGGGGGAAATCTGGTTTTTGGGGGTGGGGGGTGTGGGGTGCCAGAAGAATGGTATGGGAATCTGCGGTTGGCAATGGTTGCAGAGCCTAGTGAAGGACAGGGGGGCTTTGAAAAGAGCGATGGTTTGAGTTGGTATTTTTTTCTATTGAGTGAGAGGGATTGAATTTTTGAAGAATCGTTATGGAAGGATGGTTGCTTGTGGTGATAAGTGGTGAAGGTGGGCCGCGAATTGAAATTCCAAATGTTGGTGATGATGCGGTGATGAATCATCACATAACGAGTTGTGGGCCAAGTTAGTTACGGAACGGGAAAAAAAATACCTTTTCCGTATTTGGTCGGTTTGACATGATTGGTGGCAGCTTAGTCATCTGTGTGGCTCATCTGAAGGTGTTGTGGCGTGCACCAGCCCCTGCACGCCCCGCGCACGTGTTCGGCACGTGACAGGGCGTATAAAGTTAAGCTAGCTCCTTTAATACTAGCAGATATACCCAATCCCGAAGAAATATCAGCGCTTACTGCGTCATAGGCCGACGATGAAAACGGTGGCAGAGCTGTTATGTATGCCTGTTGGTATTCATCTGTGTAATCGTAAACATAACTTAGGCTGAGCTATAGTAAGTCAGGGAGGTATATTAACCAACTTGTGTGCGGAGTAAAATTTTGAAGGATATAAAACATGCTTCAACGATCTTGAAGTTCGCCTCTCTCCGCTTCACTCCGGCTTTGAACCCTGCAAAATTAAAAAGTATCCTTATATCCTTACGGATATCAATTCGCATGCTAAAATAGATGATGGATATTTGGAGAGGTGGAGTTGTGAGAAAGGTAGTGGTTTATTTACAATTAGATGGAAGAAAGTGAGAGAAGAGATGAAGGGAATGTACAACAAGAGGAAAGAAGGGCTTTTAATGTAGGAAGCCCAATGTATGTCCTGTACCGTTGGTCTCTGGAAAAAAAAAAAAATAAGGCATACCATGTAACAGAAAAAGAAGACAGCGTCTCAGAGAACTGACAGCAGTAAATTAACATCCAAAACAAAGTTGAAAACTCGTAATATTTCATCATTCAATCACCAGGAATCTTCTCAAAAGTTGACAAAACGGTATGACTCTCTTCCTCTCGTGACCCATATACACACCCCTGGAGAACCAATGGTGGCCCGTGAGATCGAATATCGTATAGGGGGACGATAAGCTTAGCCAAGGTAACTAAAGTTTTGAATTAGGGGGTAGTAAGTGGTGTAAGTGGTGTTTGTAGCAAGGAGAGAGGGGGGACAAAGGGAGAAAAAGGTGTGCAAGATACATGCCTGCTTATTTAGCAGCCTCGCCATCTGTCCCGATCACAAAGCGAATGACAAACAAACATAAAAACAGAAATGTACAAGAGAGGGCAACAGGAACAAGAAATATGCGGTTATAGTATAATTATGTAGAGTGGTGGTGGAGAATCACCATCTGAAAAACTTGAAGAAAGAAGGGAGAAGAAGAGAGAAAAAGAGAAAAGCCGCCAGGAGATGTATCAGAAAATGAATATTACTTCATTATCACAATGTTCAACAAAAAAAAAAAAAAAAACTCTATTCATTTCATTTGCATAGCATAACAATGCAAAGAAGTTGACTGACATTATTCATTACAGAAGAGGGTAGAAATGAGTTGACCAAAATGTATAAACAAAACATATACATATAACAAGCCAAAAACCCTAAGCATAATGCGTAAAAATATAACATCATCAACAAACAAATTATAAGCATTACAGTGTATAGTGAAATCAAGGAAATGAAAAAGTGAATGAAATATGTAAAAGGAACGTAGAGAAAAAAGGGGGAAAGCAAGCAGTAGACCTCTCCGTTCTATGAGAGTTTTAAAAAAGCAAGGTTTTAATAATAAAAAAATAATAAAAAGGGAAGAGAGATGCGTGTATAATATGAAGAATTTAATTAACAATTCATCCATGTCATGATGCTTTCTTGGGGAGTTCTTTTTGAGAGAGATTTCCTTCTTCTTTCAAGGGAGGTATACGTTTTGCTAGAAACGTCCCCGGAGGGATGTTGGCGTTGAATGGAGGAGGATGAAGCAGTCCTGAGAAACGAGGGTGAACCATATCTATGTGCTTGTGCGTTTGTATTTGTGATGAGAAGGGCCATATTCGTAATCTCAATTCAAAATCAGAAGAGAGAAGATGTGGGGGGGGGGATCGTTAATATTCCTCGCTTTTTGTGTCACTAGACATTAAGGGTCGTCAATTTTAAAATCCCTCCTCTCCCGCCTTGCATATTCGTATCTCACGAACCCATTCAGATTTCAAGACCTGAGACGCCGTTATGCGGCGGGTGGGATTTGGATCGAGTATTGAGTAGATCACATTTCGACAGCGTGCCTGCAAGACAAGAAGAAAAGAAAGAAAAAAAACTAGTCAACAATAACGTCTTGGGAAATAAGGAATAAGTGGTGATCAAAGACATACCCGATGCAGCGTCTCAATAGGCGCATACCCATCCTCATCCTTCCTCCCCTCCAAATACCGGTCATAAAACTCATCCTCCTCCCTCTGCGCGACACGCCACAAGTGCCTCCCAGTCCTCATAGCCATATAAATAACACCGGTAGCCCACACATCCACCGCGCGCGGATCAAACTCCTTATCCACGTACTCCTCTGGCGCAATATATGGTGCCGACCCACACAGTCCAGCCGTCATGTGCGCCTCCTTCTCCCAGGCCATACGGAAACACTCGCCATTGCCAAAGTCCGTAATCTTCAACGCACCGTGTGTGGTCAAGAGTAAATTCTCGGGTTTCAGGTCGCGGTGTGCCACGCCCATTTCGTGCATGTACTCGACGCCACGCATGAGTTGCTTGAAGTAGCAATCTGCCTCGCCGACTTCGAGTTTGCCCGCTGCCAGCACGAGTGTGTACAGGTCGCCGCCAGCGCAGTATTCCATGACTTCGCAGTAGTCGCCCTTAGAGTCCTGCATGAGGTCTAGCGTGTGGATGATATTCGGGTGTCGGAGGGAGGAAGAAATACAGAATTCGGACGTGAGGCGCTTCTGATACCGTTTTGCGGTCTCCTGTGGTCTGCGGCGGAATTCCTTGACGGCATAGAGCTGTTCGGTCTTCGAGTCTCGCGGATCGACCTTATGGGAGATCCGGACGATTCCAAAGGCACCGCGGCCCACGATCTCCTGGCATTTGCCGTACTTGTCGACGAGGGACGCGGCAGCGTTGGGACCGCCCTTTTTGGTGTCTGTTGTTGTTCCTGCTGCTGGAGTTGCTGCTAGCTTCTCGCGTTCGCTTTTCAGCTGGTCAACCCACGTTGACATCAGTGATAGATGCTGGTCTTCAACTTGTTCTTCCTTCTTTTTCCCGCCGCCTAGGATATCTCGTAGCATGTCTGAGAGTTTCTCCTGGCGCTTGGCGCTCTTTAGGTGATGCATATGAGATCCACCCTCGACGACTTCAAATCGTTTGTGAGTGGAGCAGGCATCTTTGTGTTTCTTAGCATCCCCATCCACTTTTTTGTCCGATTGCTTCGACGAGGACTGGGTAATGGAACCTGCAGTGGGATATTCACTTGGAACGGTGGCGACGGCGGTAGGAGATGGTGGGTGTACTCCAGTATGATTAACGTTACTTGCGCGATTCGGAGCAACTGCATCTTTCCCGACATCGACATCTTTGTGAGACACTTTGCCGGACTGGAACATGCGGGAGAAAGGGTTTGTCATTTTGGATTTGACTGGTTTAGCAGGATTAGGAGGAGACTCCCTCCCTCCCTGCTGAGCCTTTGGGTAAGCAGCAGGGAGGTGGGTATTCTCCTGGGCCTTTGTTATCTGGTCGCCATCCGGGCCATGTGAATTCTGCGATGCTGTGGAGGTTGTCGATGGTGTCGATAGTGGAACGGATGGATTCATGTGCATAGATTTTGAGAGGGAAAGCGGATGAAGGAGTCAGATGTGACTTGACTCCAGGAGATGGGGGGAAAGCTGCAGGTGACAATACCAGCAGGATAGATTTATAGCCGTGGCACTTAGAGTGTGGTAGAAAAGAGGTGGTAGGTATTTAAGGAGAGGCGTTGCGGTTAAAATGGTTAACTTGACACGGGGGGATGACAAAGCGGTCAGGAGGGGAGGTAAAAAAAAGCAGGCTTTGCTCTGCTTTTCTGGCCGTTGGTCGAAAGCAGCAGCGCCACCCAAGGGTCAATTCACAACCGCAAGGACTAGACAAAGAGGATACGGCGAAGGATCTCGGTATATTTGCAAAACGAGCAGCGGTGGATATGAATATATATATAGAGTGTGCGTATATTTCTATGAAGAGAAGGGTGGAAAAAAGAAGCGGGGAAAAGAGATGGGACGAAGCCCAGAAACGGTGAGTATTAAGGTCGCGACGACAAAATAGAAGACTTAGACTGGAGACTGATGAGAATCCGCCAAGACTCGTCAAGACTCTCCAGCTGGCAACGGAAGAAAAAAAAGAAGTTAAAAGAGAAAAGAAGAAAACAAGGAGGAGAGGAGAGGAGAGGAGAGAAGAAGAGACACAAGGCAAAGTTTTCTGGGAGGCGAGGCTAGAAATAATATACGCCGTATGCGAACTAAGCAAAAACTATTTCCACTAATTAACTATCCAGAGTGTTGAGATTTAAACCTACTCCTCCTCCCTGATGTATTCCTGCTTACTGCCACTGCTAAACCTTCTGTTACCTCCCAGATATAATAATCTAATAATCATAATAATAATCAATAAATAATAAACTCCGTAACAATAATGCTGGCGCTTTCCTGCAACGGTCCAGGATGGACATGGCCCATATTGGATGAAGCTTCTTGCACCAGTTCATTTAACTAGCTGGCAGTTTGGTCGGATTATTCGTATGTAGATACGTCTTATAGATTCCGATACTGATACTGCGTAATATCTGCTCCCGTAGTTACAGTGTGGCGCCCGGTGGGAATTTTGGGACCCTGAGCAGCCACTCAAAGTGGCTGGGTTTGGGAGCGGCCCTTCATTGGGCAGGACATTCCGGTATGCGCCACGTATGGCAGTATTATACAGTATGGTATGGTATGGTATCATCATCTCCTATGTATTAATCACTGATTCCATCAAGTTTGCTTTGATGGTTTAAAAATGCGCAAAGCTGAAGCTTGGTAAGTTTAGCTAAACCTATGCCGTCATCCCCACTAACTAATTAATGTATGTTTGAACAGTACCTCCGTACATACTTACATACTTACATCTGTATGTCTGTAAGCGGTTCCGTATTGATGAGATGAAATAGCTCGTATCAAATTGAAAATCGTGCTGCTGCATGCCATCCAAACAACCAATCAACAAATCCATCCAAACAATCTCTCGAGTCCCAACTCTCTACAGGCGTCAAGCTATCCGATGAGGGTATCCTATGATGCAGTTATCCTCGGGTACGGCTAAGGTTTTTCCCCATTTTATTTACGTTTCTTTGCCCCCCGCTTCAAAGCTTAGGCCACATAGCAGTCAACGCTTATTCCGAGAAAAAGTAGAGAAAAGAAAAGAAAATAGAGTGTGCTGAGTTCATACTTCACCACACATGTCAGTCAGAAATTAGAAAATAATTGTGCGTTTTTTAAGGGCCCTGAAAAAGTACTCATCGTATGGCCCAAAATTTGATATCTTTTGACACCTGGGATTTCCTCAATAATCGTTAATGAATGGAAAATAAACGTCTGTAACAGTCGTACCCGATCCGTGATCAGCCCGCTTTCTGTCCTGCGCCCACTAAAACATGCTGAGTTCCGTTTCATCCCATCTTCTTCCTCACCGCTGTTCGATATGGGAAATAATCCTGTAACCACTCTCACATGCATGGCTTTCACCATTACATTGGCTTTTAACTTTAAACCTTCCGTGGCTTTTTATGCACCTCATTTTGCGAAATTTGAATTCAACATCTGACTTTTTTATCGGAAAATTACTAAATAGTGAGTCTTCTCTCCTCCCGCCGCGCTAGGAGACTCGCTTCATTATTATTCACTCTGTCGACTCTTGGCTTTGAATTGGCCATGGCCCTTTTGCCGCTGTATAAGTGGAGGAAACATTCCTTCCAAGCCTAGTATCGTGGCATATGTGACAGAATGGCAGGCTTGATCGATTGCAAAGGTCGCTAACTACGAAAACGACAATATATACGGTGGAAAATAGGTCATGCGACGGAAGGGTCGGACACCCCACCCACCATAGTAGGAGTACTCAATATTATATACAACAATAGGCCTACTGCCAAGTACAGGTACGGAATCAACTGGGAAAAGGTGAAAAAACCAGTTAAAAAGGGGGAGAGCATTAAAAGAAGCACTCATTTTCTCAACTTTATGATCTTCTTTCAATGTGCAAACTTAGTGACTCTCAATGACTTGATAAGATTATCTGCCACATTATCTGCAAATGATATGTAGTGTAAAACAATTTCATTTTTGCGAATAAGATCTCGGAGAATGAAAGTGAACCCTCCCATGTTTGAAATAATGTGATACAGCTTCATTAGAGAAGAGCTTTATTGCAGACTTGTTATCAGCATAAATAATTAATATAAAATGTTAACTAAAAGTAAAATACACTTCTCAGCAGTGTTTAACTCATCAAATTAAAATAATAGAAATTCAACACTAGCATTAAGCTCTTAAAAATAATTTATTTTATGAATAGTTTTTGAAAATAAAATATATTTAATTTTATAAAAAATCTATAAATATTAATCTGTTTATAATCTTCTTCAGATGATAAAATTATTAATTATATAAATAATATAATTAATAATAAAATAAAAATTTAAAACTTTATCTATTTAATCAATATTAATATAAATTATAAATTTTATATTAAAATTATTATAAATATAATATATAATATATTTAAAAATTTTTAATTTTTTAAAATTAAATAAAAGTTAAAATATTTAAAAAATTTATTAAAAATATTAATATTAAAATATATACTAATATTTAAATATTGATTAAAATTTATTATATTTTTATTTTATAATAAGTAGTAATTTTAAATTTTACTTAGTTTAAATTTTCAATATTAAATCTATAAAAATAAGTATTATTTATATAGATAGTAATATTAATTTTATATATATGATAAATAAAAAACTTAATATTATAAAAATTATTTATAAAGTTTAAAAGATTTTTTTACTATAAAAATATTTTTTAAAATTATAAAGTTTTTATATTAATTTATAGATTAATATATAAATATATTTTTTATAGTAAAATATTTAATAATATAATAATTATATATTTTAAAAAAATAAATATTTTTTATTGATAGTTATTATAAATTATTTAATAAATATTATATTAAATAATTTAATCTATATTATTAATTTTTTTTTATTAAATACTTATTAATTATAGATAATAATTAAATAAAAAATATATTTAATAAACTTTTAAATTTTAATTTAATTTAAACAATTAATCTTTTTTAAATAAATATAAAATATTACTTTTATTTTTATAAAACTTATATTAATAAAAAATTTTAAAATATTAATAAATTAATAAATTTTAATTTTTATAAATTATAATAAAAGTTAATAAAAATTAAAACTTCTTAATTAAAAATAAATTTATAGTATTTAATATTTTTATAACTTTAATTAATAATATTAAAATTATTATTAATAATAAAATATTTTATAATTTTAAATATATTTTAAGTTATAAAAATTAAAAATTTAATTATTAATTAATTTTAAAAATAATAAATATTTTAATAAAATATTATTTTTAATAATAAAATTATATTAATTATTTAAAAATAATTATTATAATTTAATTAATAATAATATATATAAATTTTTTTTAAAAATAATATTTTTAAAAATATATAATTAATTATTAAAAAATTAATTAGATAATAATTAATAAAATTATTATAATTTATAAAAATTAACTATTAAAAATACTATATTATATTATTTATAAATTTAAATATTATTTTTTTAAATAATTTTGATAGTTTTATCGAATAAATATTATAAATTAAAAATAGTAATTTAAATTATATCTTATATAAAGTAATTAACTTTGAATTTAAATTTTTATAATTATTATATATAGTAATAGATATTAATATAAAATTTAATATTTTATAACTATAATAATAACTTTATCTTATATCTTATTTAAAGTTAAAAAATTTATTAATAAAAATTAAAATTTTATAATTATTAATTTGATAAAGTATTTGAATATATTATATAAATATATTATATATTTTTTAAAAAAAATATAAATAAAAATAAATTTTATTTAATATTTTTATTTAATATATAATTAAAAATAATTTTAAAATTTAACTTTTTATAATTTAAAGAGATAATTATAATTTTATAATAAATATTAAATTTTAAATTTTTAAATAAAAATATTTTAAATATTTTTTATGAAGTTAAATTTTTAATATAAAATAATTTTTGTTAATTATATATAATAAAAAATAAATAATATAAGTTATATTATTTTCTAAAAAATTAACTTTAATTAAAAAACTTAAAAATTTAAATATAAATATATATAATTATTGATTATTTATTTTTTTTTAATTTAGTATTAATTATAATATTTTATTTTATTAATATAATTATTAAAATTAAAAATTAAATTAAAAATTATAATTAATTTTAAAATTTTAAATTATATTATAAATTATAAAATAATTAATAATAATATTATTATAATTATTTGTAATTTAAATTATTTAAATTATTTAAAAAATTCACTGAAGCTCTAATTTCAAAGCTTTATATTTTTCTCTATTATTTATCAGTTTAGCTCTATTCTATTAAAAGAGTAAAGACTAAAGTTATCATTATCAATCTCTTCTCAGCTCAAGTATTAAATAGTAGATGCAATTAAAAAAAATTAACAGTTGTTAAAATTATATATAAATTGAGATATGAAATTTCAATATATTCTGAACAGTTAAGTGTTTAAAAAATTTAAAAAAAAGGCACATAAAAGGTAGAGAATTGATTTGAGATAACTGATTCAATTAAATTTTCTCATATATGAGATTCTGAAATGTAATAAGTGGTGATTTCACTGAATCAGCCATTATTGGTATTAGGTTGAATGATCAAGAGATTAAAATTATAAATAAGGGTGCTTTTAGAAGGACTTCTCTATTCTAGAGGAGGATATCGTCAAAAATGTGCATTTTCTCAGGGTGGCTTGTAAGCCAGATTATTCTATAAAATTCTATCTTTTTCGCGTGTCGTCTACTGGTTCAGGAACGCGTCAAGGACTCCGCCAAGTAGAAAGTGTAGAACTTTTATTTCAAATAAGATGATAGAGAGATCAAATGAAGCAAGCAGACGCAGATTTCGGCAAGATAACTCCTGAATTGACCGCAATTGGACGCAAAACAGGTCTCATAACCTGACTGAATGGCAAGCTTGATCGATTGCAAATTTGCGACGAGAACGACTCTATGGCGGAAAATAGTCACGTGATGGAAAGGTCCGACAATATGATGTCAACAAAGTTGGTTGTCCACATGTCTGACGATTCTATCCTTGTTGCTTGATATTATTATAATACGCAGTTAAGATATCGATCGGAGATGGCATGGATAGTTAAAAACCGGAAAGCATTTGAAACTCAGTGAAGAAGATTAGCGTTCCTAGGTTCACAAAAAGTGGAAAATTAGGGAGAGGAAAGATCTGGAGTCGCTTCAATGACTAGTTATATGTGCTGTCAAGAACCTTTACCAAGATTGCCGACTTCGCCATAACCTACCTGCTTTTTAAAGCATTTAACAAGCAGCAATGTCGTGTCTCGCAGCATACCTTGCAATTGATGTTGTAAATCTTCAAAGATTGTTGTCGAATTGCTTCTGGAACATCAAATCAACCGAAATGGAGGGGAAGAAAGGGGAGTGGAGTTTCTCGGGGTGAGATGCCATCGCGCAACAAGATAATCGCAAGCTCAATACGCTAACTGATAGGTTAGTTAATTGTCACCTGGGGCCTAACGTGGCCCAAAATTCCCTTATCTCATGGGGCTGTCTTCTTATCTGATGGATTTCATTCTCAGCCGCTCTAAGCCCTATCAAACCTGTTTGATTTATGTTGGGGAATAGAAGATGTAATAATGTTCTAGTCTTCTATCCTCTCTATATATATTAAAGCACGGACTGTATTATTACACTCTTACCGGCGAGGAGATCACGAAGAGTAAGAAATTTCTATCTGCAGAACCCCGATACTTTGCTTGTATTTGCACGAACGTCTCTCTGTTTCTTTCCAAAATTGAAACATCAGAGGAAAAAAAGAAAAAGAAAAAGAAAAGAAAAAAACATGGCTGAAAATCGGCACCCCAACAATCCAGTTGACATGCAGGAACAAAATTAAGGAATACGGAACACACGACGCAAGATATGACAAGGAAAACATCTTTCTACGTTTGCAGCAAGGACACGGTGTTGCATGAACACATGCGACTGATTGCGAAGATAATGACCTTGCAGCCACCCACGAGAATGGAACCCTAAGCTTGAAGACTCAAATTTGAGGCCTCAGGCAGTGGACATTTAATCATGATATGATTTCGTTTTCTCATATGTTGTACTCCGTGTACGAGATGAGAGTATGTCAATGGCTAAACTAAAATTCCAGCGTCATTGCGTCATTCTTCTTATGTAGTTCACCAACTTCCGATTCCTTCCTCGTATGGCCGGCATCCCCGCGCAACTGGAAAATGTGCGATAGCCGCTCACACTTTATCCCTTTCTTAAACAGACAAACATGGGGACCTGCCCGACAGAGGCTTTTTGCCGAAATCACATTGCAATGAGTGTGCGCGTTTCACAAATTCCCCCCACCTAAATCGAGCGGGCTAGATTGTCTCTTTGTGTTCCCCTCGCGATACCCGGGGCGATTGCGAAACTGATTTCGCAGTATTTGCCATAAGGTAGTTAGGTGGGTTTTTTTTTTTTTTTTTTTTTTTGCGTAACTTGACAGCTTTTGCGAGATAAGAAAGGGGTCACAGCAGCATCAGGCATGGACTAATGCCGTGTGGCGTGCTGTGGTTTCGGACTGGGTGTTTCTTCTTCTCGTTTTCTTTTCGTCTTTGTACGGTACGTTTCTCAATGCCTCAAGAGTGCCTCTGAAGTGTTGTACGTTTCTCTTCGGGGGGGATAAAGATGATTCGATAGAACATCTCTTTTGGCCCGGTGATATCGAACACCCCCTTCCCATACAGAGAGAGGTCATCTCTCCCGTTGAACATGTCCGCATTGGCCCGGTGAGAAGATGCAACAGAGATTCAACTTCTCCTTCAGTTAAGGTCAAACATCCGTTTCAGGAGAGATATAAAGGAATTCCAGACCGCTTCCATCTCATCTTCCTTTCAACACCCATGTTTTTTACGTCATTGATGTTGTGTCATTTACTGAGACCTGCATATAAGTTAAAATCTTCTGCCCGTCAAGCTTCATCTGCAGAAACAGTCTCAACTCAAAAGAAAGGGAAAAAATATCAGATGTATCCAAAAATAGCATGAGACACATCATCTCCCTCTGTTTCCGGGCGATTCAGTTCAAACATGCGACCTAAACATCACTCTTATTTATTTAGCCCTGAGAGTCGAGAATGAAAGCCAATTAAGCAGCTGAACGTAGTGTAGATGTTGACACTCAGAATTAGAAAGAATTAAAGAGCCAATTCATCAATTCGTAGACTCATTCATTTCTATCTCCATGTTATCCCCTCCTATCTCACTCAACTCTGGACAGCATGACAGCATACTCCCCTCAAATACGCGTATCACGCCGTAAATGACAAAACTACGATACAGCTCAGGTCGTATGAGCATGTATAGATTACAAGCGCCACGTAAGAAATGCTAAAAGCCTCAACCCCTCTTTCTTGAATTCTGCCACAGCCACACAACGGAAGTAAGAAACGAATGGCGCAAATAATCATCGCTTCATGTCTAAACAGCTAAGGTTTTCAGGCTAAACCAATGACGCCAGACAATTCCTGAACGGATAATTTAGTTGTAACCTCTTGGGGAAACCAATACCTATTGGGCTGTCTATTTGTAACAATCCTCCATTTACGTTTATTTGCGCAACAGAAGAGTGCAAAGTATAGCCTCCGTACAAGTTACCAAACTGCAAACGAGCGGGAAATTCAAACCAGAGCACTGGCAAAGGTAAAGATGAAATGAAAAGCAGCGATCAGCAGAAAGGGAGAAGCTGTGTGCTCAATTGATTCGCTATGGGTTTTCCCCCCTTTATTTCGTTCCTTGTCTTCTCGAGGACGGTAACTAGCGGGCTTGCAGGTTACATACCATGATGCATTCCAGCCCGGGAACATTTGATTCCTCTTCCCCGGGAAATATCTTTTAAAAAGGATAATAGAGTGGAAGAGAAAAAGATTCATCCACTTTTGTTTTATACTTTTCGTTCTTTGGCACACATTTTATTTTCCCCAAGGTTCCACTTCAAATCCGTTCGAGCGATCTCTGGATGGGCTACTAGAAAATTTGCAAGAATTTGCAAAATACGGCCCGATGCACATGATTCTAACATATCCTCTGGCAAAACCCGCTTACGACCGGGCTTTCAATACACAACAGAACTCCCGCGCAGGCCATTGCTTGCATTGGTGGTTCAACCGGGCGTTCCACGGGCCGGAACTGTTTTCTCTTGAATATTAGGGCTAATTGTCTATATCGCTCATAGCCGAAGGACAGAAAATAATTCGTGCTGAGACTAAACTCACCAATTCTCCTCGTTAACTATAACCATCTGAGATAGTTATAGATCCGTGGAGGAAAATCCACGTTGTCGTTAAACTTGATATAGATCCAAAAAAAGATAACCGAGCTGCTGGACTACTTACCTCTGCTTTCCCATTTTTTTCCGTTTTGTTCAGTTCATCTGTCTCCCACCCCTGAGTTTAAGATTTCGATCTTCCGCCTAGCCTGCATGGTTCCAACACGACAGGATGAGGCGCTTAGTCCATGCGTGGCATATGACGTGGTTATTGCCGAATCTAATTTTCCAAACATGATTCATAAATAATTTAATTAGGTGCCTTTCATTTTAGAGTGGTCTGAAACCAGCGGGTTTTTTGCTTTAATTTATCTATTTTTGGGGAGATGACACAAACGGAGAATTAAAGCTCCTTAATTAAACAAAATACCTTACATAGTCATGTTGTTAAACATCCACCCCCTAAGACGTTCGAGAATCCAAGGTGTAAAGACGCAGAACTCTCTCTCTCTCTCTCTCTCTCTCTCTCTATATGCACTACAAAGCTTTAGCCAACGGCTTTCAGGCCAAATTACTAATGTTAGGAAGTGGGGAAGCACTCCGTAAGACCCTGATTGAACCTACAGCACTTGAGCGAAAATATGTATGTACATACATATAATCGATATCTCTCGCCCAACGAAGAAGTCAACTTGAATTAAATGAGCACACCTAACTACCAGCTTTGGTTCACTCTTCTTCGGGGCTTCTTACAGTGTTCCAAGGTTAACTAACCAAGTCACGAACAACCGCCTTCAAATCAGGTAATTGATAACCAATCATAAACTGTTAGTTATGCCATCATGCCGGCAGAGCAAATTTATGGTGCTCCAAACTATATGATGGTTGAATAGAGTGTTCGCGAGCACTTGGGAATGGGAATTCTAATATTATTTTAACCCATTTATCATCTTGTGTCTGTTCCAGTTACCCCAAAAACGAAATCTCCTCAGGGTTGCTGGAATCAGAGCCAGAAGCGAAGCATTCTTAAAATTGGCGTATTTGTTGTCGGTTTACTAATTCAAGTTGACAGAACTCCATTTGTAAGGTTCGTTACCCCATCTATTTTTTTAGATGGTCAACGCCAACCTTTCTTGAAAATCGCTCGTGAGTGTCTGTCGTCTGTCTGCATGAGTGGTTACTATTTAACAATTGATGCGGCGTGAAGAAGAATATAACTACCTCTCCCGCCGCCTGACACATCCTTGGTCGGCCCAGATGAATACTTCAACCATAGAGCGGCCTTTGCAAGTATATCTCCGGCATTATCCACCCTAATGAGAGGGATGATGTTAGAGAGAAGTTTGAATGGCACAGCATGTAGATCCAGTGACCTTTATGCGATTTGCTCAATTCGCATAGACTAGGGTTTATTCCAAGCCGGCTGTGGTTGTGTCGACGTCTTGAGGACGAACAACCCGCCTCGAAGCTCGCGGTGTCGGCTTGCAAATCCCCAGCCAACAAAGTTCACCAATGGAAGTATGCACGACAGATCAGATAGATACGTACGATGGGGATTTCGGAGGCCCTAGAAAGAAGGCGAAAGGAACGAAGAGAATTTCAAGCGAAGCAGCAGAGTAATTCGCCAGCCCACAATAAAAATGCTGAATAAATAACCCGTGATCTGCTCATTTCCCATACGGACTTCTCCTATCCTTTCGAACCCAGATATATCTAGGTTTGCCGACACCTGCACCACAAGTATTGTCGCTAAGCCACGACAAGGTATGCCAAAAGAGGACTTGAGCGAAAATCCTTTTCATCCATGCCAGACTCTAGGTTCTCGCACACGAACAGCATGTCGAGGGGTTTGCAGCATGTGATTTCCAATGCGAGGGCGACTGCGAAGAATGACAAGTTTATGAATCTATTGAGCAGGGAGGACCGCCTGTACGAGATATTTGGAAGCTGGCCGCCCTGGAGGTTCTTGCATACATGGATTCACCTTACTACTAGAGGTGTTTGCGGCTGCCATATTATCGTCTCTGGGTCGATTACTTAGACCTATCATCTATCTACCCGGTCGTGGAAAGATTCTGGGCTGGTAGAACTCTTTGAACTTAGAATGGAGTAGGAAATATGGGATGGAGATCTCGTAGATACGGATATTTAAGTAGTACAACGCATTGTTCTACACCACTTTTATCTAATTCCTAGGAGGCTCCTGGGTGCATTCAGCTACGGTTTCGCATGGTCACAAATAGAGTGCGTAAGGTAAACCTGACCAGAAGTATACTAGAGAGATAAGTAATTAAGTTAAAAGTCCTCTATATGAACGAGTTCATATGGTACTAAGAAGACGGAGGAGATAAGAGAGCAAGCGAGTTAAAAGGTTAATGAGATCGGCTTGATTCGGGTTGGTTTACAAACACAATTGTTAAATAACGTTTAATATCAGTCAAATTGGAGAAATCAAATCATCACAAACCAGTCAGTCAGTAAGTCAGTTAGTCAGTCAGCGGATAAAGGCCATAGGTTAAGCTCATTTTGTGTACAAGTTGCTAGTGCTAGTGCTATTTTTCGAGGGGCAAAAATAGACGGGACAGGATAGGATTCAGTTCTGACTAACTGGTGAATTAAGGGTCTCAAGGAGACAGAGGAGGGGGAAGTAGCAGGTGGGAGAGGAGGGTGCTAAAGCGTGTGGTAGCAAAGTGAAGGGTGAGGAAAAACCCAGAAGAAAGAAACGTCAAATTAACTCTCGTCGCCCTCGTCAGGCTGTTCGAATAGGAAATTCGCGGCCAATTCCTCGTTCTTGTCGCATGCGAAATATGCTTGAATGACCGAATCGCGGGGGAATCCCAGACGGCAGAGCTATTAAAAGAGGATTAATGTTAGCTAAATAGATTCTAGCTAGGGAATGTATTCCGGTAAATGGCAAATAAAAAGATCATACTCTTTCAATCGCATCTCTTTCCTCCTCCGTGACAGTAATCTGATGCGTGCCTGGAGGTAGCTGCGCATCATCCTCGATATCCTCACTGAGCAGCTGAAGGAACTGGTCCTGGTTCTGTCCAATAAGCTGTGCAAGCTGAGGGTTCCCTGCACCAACCTGTTGCAGGATGGGCTCGAGCATCTGCGGTTGCTGCTGAACGAGTTGTCGCAGCTGCTGGAAATGGGGATTATTCCGCAAAAAGTCCAGATTTCCAAGACTTCCACCTTGTCCTTCAGCGGCAGTTGCCAATCCCTGTCCTGTGGCACGAGCACCACGACCGGCTCCACCTCCTTGGGGAGCACCGGCTTGCGCAGCAGCCTCAAACAGGTTGACGTGCTCATCCCCTCCAGTTGCTGCTGGAGCTGCGGGACCGCTGGGTGCCGTTGTCGCGGGAGCCGCTTCTCGCTGCTCAGCTTGACTGGTTTCGGGGATACCCTTTTTGTAATTAGCAAATTGGTCCGTTGAAAAGACTCTTTAACAAGTGGTTAACAGACTAAGCTTACATTTAGGAGGTACTCGATAGCTCGGTCGGGGTTAAAAAACGCAGCTCTCATGGCTCGATCTATATCACTTCTCGGAAAACCCATGGACTCCATCTGTGCAATTACTTGTTCGCCCTGAGGGCCCATTAGAAGGGCTGATGGATCGTTAAAAGTTGCACCACCAGCTGCTGCTGGAGCTGCAGGTGAGGTTGTAGCTGGAGCATCTGTGGTTTGAGGATTAGACGCGGGAGCGGGTGCGGCAGGTGTTGAAGCGACAGCAGGAGCGGGAGTCGAAGGAGCTTGGGATGATGTGGCAGCTGGGGTTGTTGTCTTTGGCTGTACATGTTGTTAGAGTCCAGACTAAGGTGCCTTGGGCCGAAATAGCGGGTTATATAATTGCATGGAAATTACCTTCGTGACCATGCAGACTATGAATCCCTTCTCCTCGATATTATATGATTCGATGGTATTTTCATCTTGTAGAATTTTCCCTGAAACAACAAATATTATTAGTGCCGTGCCCTCATGCAACAAAGCTGGTTTCAAATTCTCCCCCTTCGCTTCCGTACTAGAGTTATCCATTCTCTGGGGGGAAAAAATAATATCGAAGTACCAACCCTCTACCATTCCTTCTCCGGGGATGGATAGAATCGATTACGGAACGAGAGAAATAGAAAAAGGAAATAAGAGGATAAACGACGAACCGGAATAGATGAGTTTCTGCAGAGCGACATCCCAACCCCTTTCCTGGGAAATCCTCTCCTTAAGCTGGCCAATCTATTGGACGATGGGGTGTTAGAAATGCTTAGTGCGTAATGATAAGGCAAATAGCCAATGAAAGAACGATATATGGCATATGTATTTTTGGATACTCCGTAGTTCTTAAGCAGTATACACATGAAGGGCATAACATACTGTTTCTGAGGGTTCGGCTTCAATCACGAACTTTTGTTGCTTCAAATCCTACAAACAACAGTTTTATCAGCATATCAAAATGTCGAAGATATATATATGTTTGCATCTTGATCCAGTGTATAGACGTACCCTAAATGTGAGCTTCATTTTGCGGCTGCGGAGGGGTCAACTGAGGGGCAGTTGACAGGTGAGGGGGAATACGTCGAGAGGAACTGTCAGGCAGAATCGAATTGACCGAGGGGAAAATACTAACGAGCTGTAGAGAGATTTCGACGGCACAATCTAGGAACTAGGTAGTTGGAGTTAAGAGAATAGGGGAGGTTGACAAGCTAGAAGTGGGAATGAATAGGGTGGTCAACGTTGGCCCTTATGTTGGTTGTGGTCTCGAGATAGTTGGTGGTTGACGGAACGCCTGATCAGGGGAAGGCGGCGAGGGGTTCCGTCGATTCTGCCTTCTTGGCATCGCCTATTATGGTTAGCACCAGAGAATATCCCACTAGCTTATGTCGGGTTTAGTTTGAACCTTATTTTGTCATAGTTTAAACTAAGATCACGGGGTAGGTCTTGGCGATCGAAGCCTTTTAAGACGACCTTAAGGTCAGAAAAGCTGCGAGTTCCCCTTATATGAAATCCTTTAGAATATTCCTCTTCACTATTTGGGCTGATTAGCTGTTCAAGAATTTCATATGCAAGGGTTTCTTATAACAAATAGCTTGATTTCCGAGGGGAAGGCCATACCCTGCTAGGAGTTACGGAAAACAGAGTGTTTGGGATAGCTACATTTTGAAGGAATACAGATTCAACCTCAAGACGGAAGTATGTTGTGAAAGTCTTTCTAAAAAGGAAATGGTCCAAAGGAAAGGGGTAAAAAAAGAAAGAAAATAGAATAAGGATGACTCCGAAATGGTCGCTCGCCTCGCTATGCATTCACAGAGAAATAAGACATTTTCAATGTATGTCCCCTTTTTTTACCTTGGCGCCTGCGTGCCGTTAATGTCTAATAATCATTAGCTAGCCAAAACGAAAACAATCCAAGAAAAGGGAGAATCAGGAGGATGAAATAGTGAGTAAGATAAGAAATGTAACCCGGACGGAGATCGTATGATATGTGGTCGTATACGTTATGGTGCTCTCAGTTCGAAAACGACAAGATAGTTCAGTTCATATCCCCCAAGAATAGGTTCGAGACGTGGGTGCTCAGCATTTGCCATAGAGGTCGCACAGGCACTGTTTAGGAGGCGGACAGCTGGGTAAGAGTGTCAGTCAACCTCAACGACAATAAATGAGAGAGGGATATTTAAAATAAAACTCACAAAACCCCTTCCTGCCCAAAAATCACATGCCAAATCTTTTCAAACACCCACCCAATTTCAAATTCACTCAGCGACTTCTCCTCCAAAATCCACTGCCGCATCCTCACATAATCTTCCAACGGCCTCTGCAAAATCCTCTCCCGCGTCACCACAAACTGCGCACAGCACACTCCGCCAAGCTCCTGCGGCACCTCCGTCGCATTCTCCATCCGAAACAGGTGCATATAAATATCAAGAAACTTGACTCGCACGTCATTATTTAGTATATCGATCTCGGTCGGGTTGTGTGGGTTGATGGCCGTCGGGTTGCAGCCTGGGTCGGTCCTGCAGCGCAGGTTAACGTAGCCCTGTTTCCGGACGGTTTCGAGACGCAGACGCTTGAGGATACGGCTTGTGTAGGAACTTATGTCATCATTGTGCCATTGGCGGTCTGTGCCGTGAACGAAAGCGGTAATTTCGGGCAGCTTGTCATAATGGTCGATTATGAAGGTTAGGTAAGGCATGGCTTCACGGCCGCGGTTGCGGGGGACGTGCAACTTGAAAGCCGGGTCGTTTTCAACGGAGTAGACAAAGGGAACCCACCTGGAGTTTTTATTTTATTTTATTTTATTTATTTTCTGTTGTTAGCGGGAGATTCTTGGAAAGTTTTGGGTGTATTGTTTTGATAATTTATGGATAGAGAGACATATAGTTATATCTATATCCATAATATATCTCTCTATTTACTGGAGGTGCACAGAACTGGAAGGACTAACTCCGGTAGCATCTTATATGTCCAATTGACTTTCTCATGTTTCGTCTTGCCCAGTACAATTGCCTGCTTGATTTTGTGGGAATTTGGTACTAGAAGCTCCAGCGACAGCGGGGAAGACCACCACTCAATCATGTCTGAATATTTAACACCTATCAGAACTAGAGAGGTGCAGAGCAGCAATGCAATCGATAATAGTGGGCGCACATGATGTCGTCGAGAAAGATACCAGGCCATGGTTTTAATTTTTAATTTTAATTTTATTTTATTTTAATTTTTTCGAGGGAACCGGGGATGACGTTCCATTGATTGGATAAAACGACTCTTTGTGGCCTAGAAAAAGGGATCGCATGTATCTGGATCCAGTAGCTGGCAGCTTTTGGGGAAAACGGGCCGTTTTTCATGGAGCAAGGGAGTGGCACGGTGATGCGCGCATGCAAGAAATAATAAAAGAGAGGTTCTGCCTGTTTTATTTTGAAGGAAAAAGGGGAGTCTGGTTGCGGAATTGCCTGAGCCTCGGGGAAGCTGTTTTGTTTATGCTCTATTTTCTACGTTTCGCTTCATATTATCGGCTTCCAGAATTGGTTGCGTTATTCGATGCTTGCTTGTTTCAAGGTTTTCTTGCTATCGGGCTGGACTCTCATGTTGGTAGCTTTGAGCCAAACATATGACTCTATTACCACTGGACAATGGACAGTGGATAACAGGGACCTTGACCACCAAAAGTCAAGATGGTCACGGATGGACTGAAGGTAACGACCTCCCTAGTGTCCAGTAACAATCCGGATGGCGACGGCCATAAGTTGGTGGATTTTGGCACATGGAGATTTACTCCCCTCCCCCCTTTGTCTTTATTTGACCAATAAGTAACATTGGAATTCATACTGTGGTTGGAGCAAGGTTATACATTCGGGGCTTCAAGGGTCTATTTAGAAATTCATCGCGGGAAAAAAAGAGAGTTGAAGTGAAAGCTCCTTAGACGGAAGTGCTGTCCCAAGGTTGAGCTGAATGTAATTATGTAATCAACCCCTGTCTACATATATCCACTTGGCCCCTTTGACGAAATTGTTGTGGAATCAGCTCTGAAGATATGCATGCACTGCATATGAGGTAATTAGTTTATTTGTGAGATTTTGCAAGCGAAGATATTAGCCATTCTCATAAATCATGTTTTTGAGCAGTTATCATTAACTAAAAGTTATATTTTGCAATGTTAAATATTTATGCTTAACGCAAGAAAAGCTTTACACAAAATTATATTTTTATTCAACACGAACATAACCATTGTCATATCATTATTCTTCGCCACCAAGAGACAAAAATGTATCCACAATGGGCACACACACCTGTCATGATTCGTCTTCTTTCAAGGTTATTGAAGCTGATATTTACGTCCGGGTGTTAGCGTCCGCTCACTTTTCTTTCCTGAGATGCAGCCGGGAAACTGGATTTGGGAATGATTCTGAATGAAGTGAATGGGGTTAGATGAAGAGCAAAGGATGTGAGAGTATGAGAGGAGTTGGATTGAGCAATAGAATATATTTCGTTGCGTTTGTGAGTTAGAACTACTTCTATTCTACATTTGGGCTCATCAACATCAGTTGGAGGGAGCAGATATTTCTAATATTGTGGGAAGCCAACTAGGTAATAATCTTGAACTCTCCTCGCGCCTCTAATTGCTGAGGTTAGATGGCAATACACCGTGGATGGCTAATAAATAGCCATCTCATGATTTAACTTAGATATCTACATCCTCTGACGGCTCCCCCACGATCCACGCACCCTGCACCACCTCTTAACACCCCATGGTATATCATACATGTGCACGGGAATATGAAAGGGTCGTTTCTAAACACCCAAAAATGAACCGAATACACATGCCGAGACAAATTGCTTCAGATACCAAGCGCAACTTTCAAGTTCCCTTCAAATCTCCACCAATTGTTCTCCCCCAATAAATGGTATCATTCGCCAGCACTCTCATCACCAGCAGCAACCCCCTCCTCCTCATCTTCATCCTCACTAACCTCCTCCCCCTCTTCCCTAGCCTTCTCCTTCCTCTTCCTGATCCTCTCCCTCTTCCTCTCAAGCAACCTACTCAGCTTCTTCGCCGTATTAAACACACCACCGGTCCCAGACCCACACGCCGCACACGATGGATTCTTCCTATAGCGCTGCAACGCACACCCTTCGCAGAAATAATGTCCACACCGAGTAACAATCGGAGTCTTATACGGTTGTTTACAAATCACGCATGCGAAGGGGATATTCTCCAGTAGTTCATCATCCTCGTCCTCGCCTTCACCTTGATCCCCACTACCTCCAGCCTTTGAATCCCGACTCGCAACCGTCCTGCCAACAACCTTCTTCCCCCTTGTCCCGATTTCCCAATCCCGATCCAATTCCCAGCCCGCCTTGTAATCCTCCCGCGCATGCAGGAACTTACATCCATCCCCAAACCCGCAGAAGCCAGTCTGTTTGTAATCCTTGCAGACATCCGGAGAGTAATCAGTGATAGTGATTGTTCTGATGTTTGTCGGGGCCTTGATGGGGCCGAATTGTTTGTGGGTCGCGTTGGGGTTTTTTTGGAGGAAGGATTGATAGTTTGCGGAACCGCGGTAAGTGCCGTCTGGGAGGTTGGAGGGTGTAGACGTGGATGTAGCGACATGGGCAGCATCAACAGCGGAAGTAGATGTGGCAGGTGCGCTATTGCCCTGGTTCTTCCTAGTATTCCCTAGTAGATTCCTCGCGCTCAGCTCACCATCTTTGCCTCCAGCATCGTCATCGAACCAGTTTGAATGCTTCGTTGCATCGTTTGTCTGGGGTATTGGAAGCGGAGCAGCACTCGTTGAAGTTGAGCTATCATCTATGACGGCTCTCTGTCGTTGTGCAATTGTGCTATTTGCGGAGGATGCGGTGACGGTGGCATTCTTGCGCCTGCGTTTGATGGTGCGGCCGCCCTCTTCGTCGGAGGTGGAGTAGTCGGAGGCGGAATCTGAGGCGGGAGCAGGTGGCGAGGGAGCTCTCTTGCGGAAGCTGGATGATTTTGCTTTGGCAGAACGCTTCTTGAATGAGATTTGAGG